AGAGAGAGAGAGAGAGAGAGAGAGAGAGAGAGAGAGAGAGAGAGAGAGAGAGAGAGAGAGAGATCTTAAACAACAACGCTCCCATCTATTGGTGGGGGAGCATCAACTGCTGAAAAACGGGCAGCGTCCCATTTACATATAACAGTTGGTACCTGTGAATGTTTGAATGATACTTAAAGGTATGATTGCCTCTTCAGTTCCCTTAGGACCGCCAGATATAACAAACAAAACCAGCAACCCTGCCTAGCTTAAAACTCATTCACTCCCCCCAACTCCAAACCGCTGAAGATCCACAAGAGCTAGTTCAGAAGGGGGAAAAGGGTTTGAAAATAATTCTGAAGATCTGAGGGTGGCTCCTGGAGGAAGCTTGAACCATTCGTGGAAGTTGAGCTGGTAATCCCTCTTGAGAGGGTCTTCCATCCCTTCTGCCCCTGACCATGTAACTTCCCCTAGGCTCCTATACCATAAGGTCCATAATACTGCCTTGTGGCCAATTTTGAAGAGGTGGTCTTGAAAATTAGAAAGTGTGATATTTTGGGGAATCCAGTGTCCTATTGGAATTGCTTTCCAGTCCCAAGGCCAATCTATACCTGTTAGTCCCCTCCATATACAATCCCATCTTCTCCAGAGAAGAACTGAGCCTGGACAATGCATAAAGATATGTTCTATAGTTTCTCTAATTTTCCTATTCGGGAATACTATTAAACATGAACTACACCAGGGTGTTGGTAGCCTCTTTGCTCAAGTGAGGAATGATCTATGCGCCAATCATTCGTTGATAGACAGCGGTGGGCTATCTGCCATTGTAGGGGAGAACTTGGCTGGTCTCTGTCTAATATTTTTGAAAATCTTTATGTTCCTCATCAAGTTTATATCAATATTTAGATGCCTAGCCCACCTTTCTTGAAGTATTGCTGAAATGTCAACCTTGTTCCGAAGTAACATATAGGTTATTTTAACAAATAAGGATTGTAGAACACTTGGTTTCCCTTTCTTTGAAGTCCGCCATATCCATTCGGCTGGGTCAAAGAGAAGTTCGGGGATAGGCGTCTGAGGATGATAGGCTTTCCAACCCTTAATTGATGAGATATAAAGAACTCTAATTCTGTAAAGTTTTCTGAAGGGAAAGATTTCGACTGTATTGGAAGAAGATTGCACCAAGAGGTGGTCCGTTGTGGATTTGAAAATATTTACAAAGGCTTCATGAGGAAAAGTGTGAACCACCATCACCTGTTGATCATCCGGTCGAAATCCTACAACCCAATCTGCTTCCTTAATCTTAGGTCCTTGTCTCAATATTTTGACCCAATCCAAAGGTATAGAAAATATAATTTGTTCCAGGTTAGCAGCTAGTTGATGCGCATATCTCAAGGTTTGTCTAAGCTGTTTCACCGATTTCCAGTCTTCCGTCCCCGGGTCCCATCAATCTTTAATCCTCAACACCCCTCTCTTTAAACACAATGTCCACGGTGAGACTGAGCTATTGAAAATTCTACTATTTATGTTTGTGATCCATTGATTCCCAAAAAAAGGTTGTCGCAATACTTCCTCATATCGGGAGGGAAAAGGTTTATTGGGTAGGGGTAATTGGCGCCAAGTTTTGAGCATCGAGACCCACAAGCCATCAAATATAAGATCTCTTCTAGCTGCACCCCTATCTTCCTCTCCTCTAAACTGTGCCTGTGCCTTGGGAATGCTCCAATACCTGTCTTCTAACCAGGTGAGTGGGTGTATATCCCCCATTGAAGAAGGCGCAAGCCTACGAATCTGTTCCAGTGCCAGATCTTGCCAAGGCTTGTCCGTAGACAATATTAGTTTTCTAATCCAAGGAAGGGTACATTCGTTCGTTTTTTTTTCTTTTTTTGGAGTGGGGACAAGCAGGACCATTATGGGCCTGGATCCTTGTCCATTCTGCGAAGCATCACTCCAGTTCCTTTTCCACTGGCAAGTCAAGATAATGTACGCTTCCTTCCATTGAAGCCGAAGGAGCTCTGATCAGGATTGATGGCTCCCTTACAATAAGACCTCTTATCACAACTAGGAGACCTGTTGCGGCTACGCCCGCAATAATGAAGGGAGGTATAGTAGCAAAGCGTAGTAGCCTAGATTCGTGCTCTTTTCTTTATTCATTTCGACTGAGCTGTACGCAATCTGAGCTGACATGGTGAAATTGAGAGACCCTGGGGGCACTTGTTGGAAGTCCCAATCAAGTATAAGTGTCATTATTGTTAAGCAGATCCCTCCTCCCTTCCCCTTCCCCCCATCCGTAGGCGACCTGGGCTGACATGGTGTAATTAAGAGAGCCTGGGGGAATTTGTTGGAAGTCTCCATCAAGTATCTTTCTTATTATGTATGGTGAGCGTTAAATGAAACAGAATAGAAATGGGGCCACAATTTATTTAAATAAACAGGCCTCTGGAGGACTACAGCGACAGATAGATTGCTGTGGTCTGCTCGCTCTGGCCAGACCTTGTGCCATTGTTGTTAAGCAGATCTCTCCTCCCTTCCCCTCCCCCGC